TTGTAGCACTTAGTATATGCCAGGCACTGTACCAAGCACTTTATAATTATTTAATCCTCACAACAACCTTGGAAGATAGGTGCTGTTATTATCCCCATTTTACAGATGAGGAAACTGAGGCAAGCAGTGGTTAAGTGATTTGCCCCCAGGTCACACAGCTAGTAAGTGTCTGATAAAAAAATCATTGTAATACAAAAGAAGAGTTCATTCTAGACCAGGTGGGTGTGAGCAGATGTGCAGGAACAGGAATGAGCGTGGTATTTTGGGGGGGGCAGTAAGAAACTCCTTGTTAGAGAATCACATGGGGTAGTCTGGCAATGGTGAGAGGTGCCTGGAAGTAGGGAAACCTTTCAAGAGACCCTTGCAGCTGTGGTGATAAGTCCTGAACTAGAGTGGAGACCCTGGGGATGGGGAGGAGGGAGTGGATCCAAGAGACAGCACGAGTCGAAAATGGACAGGACTTAAGGACAGATTTGCATTTAGAGGATGAAGGAGAAAGAACAACTAAGAGACAGCTGAAGATATGCCTGGGGAGTGGGGGTGGACTGCAGTTGGGCATGGGAAGAGAAGGATGAGGCACTGAAGGGGACAAGAAGGAGGAAGAGGAGGGAGTGATGTCATCATGGAAACCAAGGGAGCAAAAGAGGGGGCTGGTCAGTGGTGTCAGCTGCCATAGAAACATCAGGGAAGAGGAAGACTGGGAAAAGCCATTGACCTTGTCCATTTAGGAGGTCATACATGAGAGCAATTACAGGTGGGCAGTGGAGGCAGAGATCAGATCAGAGGTAACCAAGGAGGAAATAGAGAAGAAGTGGAGCTGGTGGAATTAAAACACTCATTCAAAAAGTTTAGCAGCAACATAAATGAGAAATGGGAAGATAGCTTGAACAGCCAAAGTGATTTTTTTAAAGGTGGAGCAGATAGGCATTTTTAAATGAAGAGGGAGATGCTGGAAAGAGGAGGTGTGGGAAATGAATGATGGAAGGAATTTAAAAGCATTTGCCAATACTTACTATGTGCCAAGCACTGTGTTAGGTACTTAGGATAAAAATACAAAAATCAAGATCGTCCTTGCCTTCAAGAAGCTTATTTCTTTTTTTTTTCTTTTTTCTTTTAAATTTTATTAATTTATTTTGATTTATCAACAATCACTTCCATATGCTTTTGAGTTGAAAATTTTTCTCCCCCTTCCTCCCCCCCACCCTCCCCAAGGACAGCGCACAGTCTGATATAGGCTTTACATTTACATGGCCATTAACATATTTTCACATTAGTGAAGTTGTAAGTAAAAATTAAAACCAATAGGAGGAACCATCAGAAAGAGGAAACAAAACTCAACAGGAGATAAAAATAAGTGATAGTGATTCGACTTCCATAGTTCTTTCTTTGGATGTGGACAGCATTTTCCATCCCGAGGCCTCTGGAGATGTCTTAGATCCTTATAATGCTGAGAAGGGTTCAGTTTAACAATATTAGTCATCGCATAACGTGGCTGTTATTGTGTACAAAGTCCTCTTGGTTCTGCTCACTTCACTCAGCATCAGACCATATAAGTCTTCCCAGGTTTTTCTGAAGTCAGCCTGCTCATCGTTTCTTATAGCACAGTAGTATTCCATTATATTCATATACCACAACTTGCTCAGCCATTCCCCAATTGATGGGCATCCCCCTCAATTTCCAATTCTTGGCCGCCACAAAAAGAGCTGCTATGAATATCTTTGTACATGTGGGTCCTTTTCCCATTTGTTTGATCTCTTTGGGAAGAAGCTTATTTCTTAATAGAGGAAGAGAGCACATATGGAAGAGGAGTGTCCAGGAGATGGGTCTTGTGGTTTAGGAAGTCACAGGTATGATGATGATTGACAGGAATGGTAGTGTCAATTTGATTACTGTTCCCAGAGCAAGAGGTGGAAGGGGGTGAAGGGGAGGTATGACGAAGTGGCTCAGTGGAGAGATAGAGTGCATCACAGGTGAGTCTGGGGGTGAATAGAAATGGTGGACTTTTCAATGAGGAGTGCAGACCCCTTGCTTCCTTGGCAGGTGGTGGGAAGAAGGGTGACACCTAGCAATGACAGGGAGATGGTCTATGAGATCAGGGTCCCAAAGAGATGGGAAAGGACAGGATCTTAGGCACAGGGGTATAGGAGGGTTGGAGCAGGGAAGAGGGGGACAGGATCTTAGCCTTTTTCCTGATGCCCATGGCTGTTTGGTCTTATCTCCCTCCTCAGACTATTTTGTACTCACTCTCTGTGTAAATATTGACTTTCCTTAGTGAAAGGTAAACTTTTTGAAGGTGGTGTTTTTTGTCTTTGTATTCCCAGCACAGTGTACATAGTAGGTTGTTAATAAATGCTTATTGAATAGAACCTTTGAATTCTACCTCTGACCCTGGAGAGATGGGTACGGTTCTGCTGATAATACTTTGCATGTCTATATCACAGTAGCAGCCATTACTCACTTGATTGTCACAATGACTTGTCAGGTAGGCAGGGCAGGAATTTGTGACAGATGAGAAAACTGAGGCACAGTGAAGTTTGTGACCTGCCCATGATTACACAGCTGGTATAAGGCACAGCTAGGATGCAGCCCCAGACCTTCTAACTCCATTTCTGGTCCTTTTTCTGCTGCTCCACATTGCTTCACAATACTAACATATAGACCAAAGGCTTTAATCGCTGGTTTTCTGGTTTTCAACACAGCTGAAGGAAGAACTTAACGGACTCTGTTTTCCAATGCTCCTTTATTCCATATAATGCCTGTGTATCCTTTCCATTACAGGCAGCTAGATGGTGCAGTGGAGAGAGCGCTGGACCAGAATTTAAATGAGGCCTTAGACCAGGGCAGCTAGGGCAAATCCAGCCTCAGACACTAGCTTTGTGTCCTTGGGTAGATCACTTAACCCGGTTCCTCCTAGTTTCCTCATTTGTAAAATGAGCTGTGGAAAGAAATGGCAAACCACTCTAGTGTCTTTGCCAAGAAAACCGTAAATGGAGTCATGAAGGCATGGACACAATTGAACAAAAACCCTGAGTAAGTCACTTAACCTCTGTCTGCCTCAGTTTCCTAACTGTGAAATGGGGATGACAGCACCTACCTCCCAGGGTTGCTATGAGGATCAAATGAGACAATATTTGTAAATTGCTTAGTGCAGTGCCTGGCACATACTAGACGCTTAATAAATGCTTATTTCCTTCCCTTCCTCCTCTGCCCAAACCTAGCAAACTCCTCAGCTTTTTCTCTTTGTCCCTCTCAGCACAATACGTATGTCCAGCACCAGATCTCCCTACTACCACTTGCTTTCTTTACATATATTCATGAGCTGCCTTTTGAGGAAGTTGTATCACCAGGCTGACTGGGTCCATTACAAATTCATGTTCTCTAATCTCAAATGAACTCTTATTGCTGAATGACAAAATTTTTATTCTTTACTGACCTATATCATTTCATTCAGTGGTTTTTCCCAGCCTCTTCTCAAACCCTCAGTACCTTGGCATGTTCCCCTCTATGAGCATATGTCCTTATCTGCTACTTTGCTCAGAAAATAGAAGCCATCCACTATAGAGCTCCCTCTTCTCCCCTAATCTATACCCCTAAACATCTTTATATTGTTACCTATGCTTGCCTTTATTCCTGTCTCTCAGGAAGAGGGAGCCCTCACTCGTTCCCAAGACCAACACTTCTGGCTGTGTCCTCTATCCCCATGCTCTCCTGTTTCCTCAAGGGGCTTTCCTTATCAATTATTCTCTTTCTAGATTTCTCTCAGACACTTGTTCTTATGTGATTATGTCATTCTTTCATACTTCTATTTCTCTTCACATTTAAAATATATTTTTCTCGAGACAAAGCACATGACATAGGGAGTGCAAATGATATTGTCCTCATTTTACAGATGAAGAAGCTAAAACTTAGAGAGGTAAAATGAATATGGAATAGTGGAAAGCTCACTAGGTTTTCAGCCCGAGAATCTGTGTTCTCAGCCCATCTTCACTACTTACTACCTGTGTGATCTTGAGTAAGTCATTTATTTAACCTCATTATGACTGTTTCCTTCTGAATGAATAAATTGGACTGGGTGACCTCCAAGGTCCCATCCAGCTCTACTTCATATGATCTAATTGACTTGTCCAACTTCCATACCCTGACTTGGCTTCCATTTTATATATATATATATATATATATATATATATATATATATATATATATATATATATATATATATATATATATATATATATATATAATACAGCCTTCATTAGACAACTTCCCTTTTCTTCTTTTTCAGAATTGTTTGTATTGTCAGAATTTGTTTCTTTAGAGCACCACACCTCTCTTGGGCTGACTTCCCCTGTGGTATTTTAAGCCATGGAAGCCCACCTATCTTTTCTCTGAACTTGGAAATCTGCTCACATCTCAAAGCATTAGACCATACCCAATTTTCTCTCTCATATTTATTACTAATACAATAGGTCACTTTCACCAAAAAATGTTAAAAGAACTTCTAGATGTGAGTGCTTGGCCTTTTGTCAGTGAACTTTGGAAAAATCATAGAAAATGGGAGAGGGGCCATAGGACTGGAAATAGGCAGATCCCCTGGTTTTCAAAAAAGAGGAAGAAGGTAGATGAACTTGACTTCAAATCTGGACAAAATTCTAGGATATGTTATTTAAAGGATGGTTTCTGATCATTTAGAAGAGAAAGAGTGATTGATAAGAGTCACTACAGGTTCAGCAGGCTAACTGGTTAATTCAGGCTATTCTCATTTCCTTTTTGAGTTGAATTTGAGGGCTACTACAGTAGTGTACCTGTTGTTCTGTTACTTCAGTTGTGTCCAACTCTTCATGACCCCATTTGGGGTTTTCTTGGCACTAGAGTGATTTGCCATTTCCTTCTCCAGCTCATTTTACAGATGAGGAAACTGAGGCAAACAGGGTTAAGTGGCTTACTCAGGGTCACAGAGCTAGAGGTTTCTGAGGCTGGATTTGAACTTAGGTCTTCCCGACTCCAGGCCCACCTGAGCTTGACTGAGCCACCTAGCTGCCCATAACTATAGCAATAGATAGAGAGGATGACCCATCCAGGATTTTAGAAAGGTGATAAACAAGTTTCTTATGATGTCCTTGTGGATTAGAGACTGGATAATACAGTTATGAGAAATTAGATCTAGTTGAATGACAAGTCATAACCAGGCAGTGATTGTCCATCTTGGTAATGTTTCCATGGGAAGAGAAGAAAGTGCCAAGGACCAAGCCCAAGATGAAGGAGCTCCAAGTGATGGTGAAATATCACCTGGGCCAGTAACAGCAGCAGTGGGAGAGCAAGGCAGCAGTAGCATTTGGGAGTTCAGAAAGCTAAGCTAGAAGTCCTGCCCTTCTGGCAACATAGACACCGAATTAGAATTGAGGCCGAGCCCCCGGAAATGCATTGAGGACTCCAAACTTCATGCCAGACAACCAGGAGACCATCACTGAAGAGCACAAGCCAGGGGCCCAGAAGTCCATATACCATCACCAGTCCCCTAGGGAGCTAATTAGCTATAAGATCCATTAAGCTATCCCCCTTCTGACCAGGAATTGGTCTTTTTTTTTTCCTTCTTTTTTCTGTCACTTGCTTTTTAAAGAGTGATAATTTTGGTGTTGGGCCAAGAAAATATCAACACTGAGGTGGGTCTTTAAAGGACTGTCACAATGATCTGTTCTTGGCCCTATTCTGTTCAACATTTTGATCATTGGATGGAAGCACAAATGGCATTTATCAAATTTGCCAGGTACATCAAGGTATAGGGACACATTGGATAATAGAATCAGCATCCAAAAAGATCTTGAAAGGCTGAAATGATGAGCTGAATCTAGTGGGATTAAATTTAATAGAGATAAATATAAAGTCCTACATTTGAGTTAAAACAACTGCCTGAGTATAAGATTTAGGGGTTCTATAGGGGTAGGTGGTGGAGTGTGGATCATAAAGTCAATCGTGTAACATGGCAGCAAGACAATCACACAAAACAAATTTGCTCTTAAACCTGTGCTTCCAGAAGGACAAAAGTGGGCGTCCTTCTGTCATCGGTCCTGATCAGGCCACACCTGGAATGTATTAGGAAGGTCATTGACAAACTGGAGGTGGGGGAAGGGGTGTTGACCATCATCTGGAGGCCAGGAAAATAGGAGTATCATTGATGAAACTGGGGATGAAAAGATGAGATGGGGGAGACGGATGTAGTCACTGTCTTCAAGTTGTTTTCCTTGGCTCCACAGGGCAGAGTCGTCCGTGAACTGAAAGTGTCAGTTCTAGTGGAGCTAGGAGAAAAAAACCTTCCTCACAATGAGAGCTGCCCCAAGGCCGAATGGACCGATTTGGGAGGCTGTCATGGGAGGACTTCAAACAAGGATGTTGTAGAAAGTTGTGCAGGTTGGACTAAATCACCTCTGAAGTTGCTTCCAGCCTCTAGAGGGTGAGATTCTGAATTCTGAAACAGAGTCTCAGAGGAAGGGAAGCTGAATTATTGGAAGGAAGGAAGGAAGATCCTTGTCAGGATGAAACTGTGGCAGGACAAGGTGGTGCTTGTTGGATGGAAGTGGTGGTGGCGGCCGCTGGGATCTGAGGGGAGGAGCCCTGGGGGGAAAGGGAGTAGCAGTCAAGTCTGGGACTGGAAAAAAACTGGAGAGCCTGGTTGTGCGTGTCTTGCGGGAGGGAGGTCTTTGGGGAACACTGGGGTGGATGGGCGGGCGGTAACCAGCCCCCTTCCCCTCCCTTGGGGCGGGCTGGCGCATGCCCCCTAACCCATGGTGCTGAGTGCGGATGCAGCGCATTCGTGGCCCAGGAGCCCCGAGGAAAGCGGCGCGGGTCATTCTTACTTTCCCGGCCTCCAGCATGTTCACCTCCGCCCGAAGAGGCTTCTCCATCGAGGCGCTCGTGGGTACTTCCACGGAGCCGTTGCTGCGCCCCGCGCCCGCCAGAGCCTGCGCCTCACCAGCTTGGGGGGCTGCTCGCCTGTTGGTCCCGGAGCCTTCTGCTGCCCCGGACCGCGGAGCCGGTGGTCGCCTGGGTCCGCCTCCGCCCGGCCCCCGGGACCTGTGCAGTTGCTGCCCCTGGCTTCTCCGAAGCCTTTTGTGGACGCCGAGCTTCCCGGGTGAGTGCGACAGAGCCTTGGGGAGCACGCGTCGTCGGGGAGGCAGCTCTGGGGGAAAGCTCTGGACTTGCATTGTCCCGCCTCGCACCGTCATCGTCGCACCGTGGGCAAGTTATGTCACCTGTTTGCGCCTTAGTTTCCCCATCTGTAAAATTCGAGCAGGGGGGTAGGAATTGTGTATGGAGCGGGGGTGGTGGTGGTGGAGGAGGAGGAGGAGAAAAGGTTTGTACTGGACCTCTAAGCGAGCTGTTCCATCTATGACAGTCTGCTTCTGGTAACGGGGACACTGCTGACCCGATCGGGAGAGTATGGGATGCCTCTGGCCAGGAAAGGGAGCCTGGGTTAGGTGGGGACCGCTCCTCTGGTCGCGGAACGGAGAGAGTTGAGGCAGACAGATTGTAGCCTCTCTAACCCAGAGCTGGGCACTTTTGATGGGGCGGGGCCGCACAATCAGCGCTTAGGAAAGCAGCTAGCGCTTAGGATAGCAGCTGGAGCTTCCGGATAGCAACTTAATTTCCTTTTCTACCTCCGATCCTGCGGGGAGGGGAGGGGTGGGAAGGCAGTTCTAGTGTTACTATTTCCATGTTACAGACGAAGTAACCGAATTTCGCAGAGGGTAACATACTTGCTCAAGGTCACAAAATGCACCAAGTAGACGATCGCGACTCAGTCTCTTTCAAAAGCTGGTTCTCATTACAACTCTCTCCCCAACCCTGTAGGACAGAGCAGAACTGGTGGTGGTTCTGCGGTCAACTTTGGGGATGAAAAGTTTCATCTAGAATCTGGCTTTACCCTTGGGTAGCAGGGGGTTTATCTATTTGTAGACACGTAGTGCAAAGGAGGAGGGAGGGAAAGAGAGGGACGGAATAAATGTGTTTCGGGACGGGGGATGGAGATCAGGGTCCTGGACAGGGATGGTACCAAAGGAGAGAGTTGCCTTTCTTTTGCAGTTGTAGAAACGGCGTAATGGAAACGGGGCAGGGGGAGCGCTACTTTTGGAAGAGTCGGTTTCCAAGGCTCCCTCCTTCACGGCACCGAAGTAGCCCTCAGTCTAAGTCAGTGTCTGGGCTCCAGTAAGAACACTGGTCACTTACTACACAGATCCTCCTGTGACTTGATAACTCTGTAGGCAGGAATACACCTTTCTAGGAACTGGAGACAGTGCTTAAGCATCACCCTACCAAAGCTCAGTACTAATGATTGCTATTTCTATAATGATTTCCGACTTGTGAAACATTCTCCTCCCTAAAAGCTTGGGAAGGCAGCTAGGGCAAATATGATAGGGCAAATATGATACCCATTTCACAGATGAGGAAAGTTTCAGTGATGTTAAGTGACTTGTTCAGGGACACAAAGTTATCAGAACCCTGAAGTTACCACACTAAGAAGGAAGAAACAACTGGCCAGGTCTATGCATACACAGACTGGTGAACCAGGGACCTGGAGCAGCATGTCTATCCCAGGCAGCAGTGAGAAGCCTGGAGCTATTCTTTTTTTTTTTTAATTTTTTGAGGTTTTTTTTTTTTTAGGCAATTGGGGTTAAGTGATTTGCCCAGGGTTACACAGCTAGTAAGTGTCAACTATTTGGTCTGAGGTCTGATTTGAACTCAGGTCCTCCTGATTTTAGGGTCCTGAGCTCAATCCACTGCGCCACCTAGCTGCCCTTGCCTAGAGTTATTCTAACAGAGGTTGGAAAGCTTCCTTTCCCCATCCTATGTCCAACTCCAATCACTATCTACTGCACTGCACTGAAATCTCAAATAATACAGATCATTTAGACCCAGGCTTCCCTCATCTGAGGTTCATTAGCTCCCTTTTTGACATAGGTAATTGGAAGTGGTGAGAGTGTCACAGAAATATTGGCAGAACCTGGGGAACTTTCATTCTCATTCTGCTCCTCTCCTAGTGTGCCCTTCATTTTCCTTTGTGGAAGCAATAAAAATGGGAGCCAAGAACTAGCTTATAGGGGTGGTTCTAGGACTTAGAACTGAAAGGGTTCTCAGACACCATCCAGTCTAACAAGCACACTTATTTTACAGAAGAGTAAACAAAGGCCTAGAGAGGTTAAATTATATTCAAGGTCACCCAGATCAATGATGAGATTGAAAATAAATGTTAGGATTTTAATCCAGGCCTTCAGGACTCTGAGTCTAAGAAATGGGAGCCATTATAAACTATTGTTATTGTTCCACCTAAACTTCAATGCCAGGATGGGCATTAGAGGAAAGTTACTGGGGAATTAGGGAGGGAGGATGAGGGTGCTATTCTATACTGCCCTGGCAACCAGATAGAAACACTTAAGGTCTCGGACACTAGCCAGGAAAGGTTAACCAGAGAATACTGGAGGCTTTTCTTTTCAAACAGGAGAAATTCATTCTGCTGAGAGCCTGCTGCTTTGTGGGCCCTTTACTCGAAAGCCCAAAAGAATCCGGACAGCTTTCTCCCCATCCCAGCTCCTGAGGCTGGAAAGAGCCTTTGAAAAAAACCACTATGTAGTGGGAGCAGAGAGGAAGCAGCTTGCAAACAGCTTGTGTCTAACGGAAACTCAGGTATTGTTTTTTTGGTAGTGGGGAGGGGGGAGGAGGGAAGTCATTTCTAAACCACATACATCTCCTTCTGGTTCCCCTGCTATGTCCAGGAACAAGGACTTGAATGAAAAGGAGCAAACTCTTCTCAAGCATGTGTCAGAGTAGCTCCTTGGTGTATTGAGCACAAACTCCAGCCTGTGTAGTCACAGCACATTTCCCAGAGCTCAGTAGTAGTATTTCATTAGGGAAAAGGAAGGGAAGAGAATGGTAGAAAGATCCAGAAAGAGGCTATTCCAGACCGCAGTGTAATAAAAAGAATGTGGTGAGAGAGGAAGTGAAGTCCAAGAATTTAGCCACAGAATTCCCTGGGAAGTAGAGCTGAAGTACCCTGGATTACCCTCTAGAGAGACTAACTTATGACATAGAAGCTACAGGCCTCTCACTGAATGCAAGAAAGGGGATGGAGGATATCTTCTCTGTTTGAGGCCAGTTAAGAGTCCAGGGGTGGGGAAACTGTGGCCTTCTAGGTGCTCAGGTGTGGCCTTCTGATTGAATCCAAACTTCACAGAACAAATCCCCTTATCAGGCTGGGAAGATGTAATCTCACTAGACTCCTCCTGCAGGTGAAAGTATGGTTCCAAAATCGTAGAACAAAACACAAAAGGCAGAAGATGGAGGAGGAATGCCCAACAGCAGAGGAGAAGAGGAAGAGTGGACCACTTCTGAGTCAGTGGCAGGTGGCTGCTAGGCAGGGCATTGATGAGGACATTGATGTGACATCTGAAAATTAGGAGCGCTCTTGGGGACTGGAAGGTACCTTCTCATGAAAGAATGCTTGAGGCCTAGCCCTGGGACAAGTTCGATGGCAGAGGCAGGACCCTCTTTGATGAGACTGATGGATTTTCAAAATTTTCCAAAGGTAACTTTAAATACAACTGGAGACTAACACCCACTCAAGACTGCAAGGTAACAAACTGGAAAAGTTCATGAAAGTTTTCTTCAGAGCTGGGCATGGTGGCACCTGCCTATAATCCCTGCTATTGGGGTTGCTGAGGCTGCTGTATTGCTGGAGCTCAGGATCTCTGAGATGTAGTGTGCTAAGCCAATCAAGTGTCCACACTAAATCTGGCTCCAATATGGTGAGCCTCCAGTACCTAGAAACCACCAGGCTGCTTAAGGAGGGAAGAACTGCCCCAGGTTGGAAACTGAGGAGGTCACAGCTCCTGTGCTGATCGGTAGTGGAACTGAGCCTATAAATGGCCACTGCACTTTTATCATGGCTGAGATAAAGGGAAAGCAGTCACGAGAAATGAAACGGTTTTCACAAGAAATTTGTACTGCTTTGTGAGTATAAACTGGAGCTCCAAATGACCATATTGAAGATAGCAGGTGGAGCTACCTCATTTATCAGATACTCCTGAAGAGTACAAAGGGTAGAGAAGTCTAGGAGAGACTGTCAGAGGGAGCTGACTGATTTCTAGGCCTGGTGTCTCTGACCCATTATCACCTGTCTGAGCTAGGTTGTCTCAGCTATGCTCACTTACTTCCCTCCATTCCATTACTTCAGGTTTGTGGTTAAGGAGTCAGAATGGGGAAAGGAGACCCAGAATCTACTCAGAGAACCCCATATTATTTTTGCAACTGGCACATAGACACAAGGAGCATCCTGGGGTTTTATTCCATACATACAAATATACATACATAGGCAGATGTGACTCTTTGTAACTGTGAGAGAGAGAGAGAGAGAGAGAGAGAGAGAGAGAGAGAGAGAGAGAGGTAGGGGTGTGTGTGTGTGTGTGTGTGTGTGTGTGTGTGTGTGTGTGAATGGATCTGTGTGAATGGCTGGGGGCCTTCTGGCCATTGCTGCAGATCCTTCTTTCACTCCACATCTTTTCATCTTGTATGATATTTGTCTGTGTTCTCTCATGGATCCTCCACAGAGTATTTCTCAATGTGTGTTTGCTGTGTCTCCTTACATTTCATGCATGCCAGTGGGATGCTTGGGCTGTCTACTCTTCCTCAGTCTTGCTACATGACCAGGCTCTGCTCCTTTTCTAAACATATATTTGCTGAATATCATCCTCATGCCACTTGAAAATATGCGGAAATACAGCATGGCCTGTGTATACCCACCATGTGTCTATTCAATGAACCTTAATTTCCCTTGTAACTCTGATTCTTTGTTCCCAGCTTTTCAACCTTACAGCATCACCAGGTGAATGTATTAAAAAGATGAGGTTTTGTGCCAAGTTGCTGCATGAAAAGCCCTGTGCATTTTCCCAAGTACAATCCAGCCTTCTCTCTTCCTCCTACTGAATTCCAGGTCTGACACATCTGTATGCAGTACCTGTCCCAGATATATGTCCTGATATATTATGGGGAAGTTTAAGTTTAATTTGGAATACTATAAGTTTCCCTACTATGTCACTCCTAGTCAGGATGAGATGGATACTATTCTCTGCTTATCTATTTTCTTAACATAGCATTTAATAAATGCTTTTTCCTTCTTTGATAGCCTTCTGTTGCAGTGTGGGCCATGGTTAAGGAAGCAAGGTTGGATTTCATGACATTTGTAATATTGTCTCAGGAGGTTTTTGACAATAAATCCCTCTCCCACTTGGGTTGACAATAGTCCCTCTGATGTATTATTGACTTTACCTCCTTCAGGCTGACAAGGAAGGTGGAACAAATCTGCCTTATTGCCTATATGAATTATACCTCACCTGTATACAATGTTTGGCCTGTGAATTCTCAAAACCATAATGCTTGAATCAGAAAGAAATATTTTATTCCATTTAATGGAAAAATTAAATATTTTGGTGCATAAACTGACCGTGTCATGTCTCTTCTATGCTGGGATAAGGAGGGAAGTATTATGGGGGGAAAGGTGATTTTATCAATTTGACACCAGATGGACAAAGATGCCTTATTACTGCTGAGAACAGCCTTACTGGTGGACACTACTTTCTAAGAGGTTTCTGAAATATATATATATATATAATATATATATATATTATATATATATATATATATATATATATATATATATATATATATATATTTTTTTTTTCTATTCTGCTTTTGCCTCACTCCAAACCTATGAGTGACACCTGTCTGAAACAGTACTTCCAAATTTAGAACCATTTCCCCCAATTTGCAATGACTGACATGTGTCAGGCACAGTTATTCACACACCTGAGTTTTGTTTCCTTTAATCAGAAGCTATTCCCATCATGTTTGCTTATCTGCCAACAGCTGGAGTGCTCTCTTCTCTAGCCTCTCCTCCTTAATACCCTATTAATTAAAGCTCTGGCAGAATCTCTTTTTCTTAAAAATAACCCATCCTTATCTCCTTAAGAGGTTGAAGCCAAGTTATTGGTTTGTCCTTCCTCATCTTGTTAACCATGTCTTCTGAGGGAAACCAGTTCTCAACTCATAGGGGTTAAATTCAGTTTTCAAGTCTGATACTGTGATTCTTAAAAGTTCATTCTTTTAGTTTGCTATTTTAATACATTTTCTTGATGCCCTTTGTCATTATATTACTGTCATTCCTGGAAACTGCCCCCTACCACACACAACCAGACTGAACACTTCCTGATAATAAAGGAAAAACCCCCAAATAACTAGCTGTGTGACCCTGGGCAAGTCAGTTAACCCCATTGCCTAACCAAAAAGAAAAGAAAAAAACAAAAAACCCAAATAGTGACCAAATCTGACAATATGTACAACATTTGGCCAATGTTGTCTCCTACTTCCATGCCCAATTTATTTTATTTTTTAGGCAGTTGGGGTTAAGTGACTTGTCCAGGGTCACACAGCTAGTAAGTGTCAAGTATTTGGTCTGAGGCCCATTTGAACTGAGGTCCTCCTAACTTCAGGGCTGGTGCTCTATCCACTGCACCACCTAGCTGTCCTTTCCATGCCCAATTTAAAAGAATTGCAAACAGTTAACAAAGACAAGAGTGATTGCCCCAAATCATTAATAACAGAAATGCAAATCAAAATGACTCTGAAGTGTCATTCCATACCCAGGAAACTGGCAAAAATGACAAAAATAGGAATAGGTAATGTTGGAGAGACTGTGAAAAGAGAGGCATATTGATATATTTTTGCTGGAGCTATGAATTGATTCAACTATTCTGGAAAGCAGTTTGGAATTATGCTAAGAAAATTACTAAAATGTCTTATACCTTTTGGGTCAAGGATCCTACTGCTAGAAATATATTGTAAGGAGGTCAAAGACAGAAATAAAATTAACATTTACCAAAATACTTATACTAACACTTTTTATATTAGTAAAGAACTGGAAATGATGTGTCTATCAATTCAGAGATGACTAAATAAATGGTGATACATGATTGTAATGGATTATTACTGTACCATAAGAAATTATGAATATTCACCAAAAATTAGATAAATGCAAATTAGAACAACTCTAAAGTTCCACCTCACACTCATACAGACAAAACTGACAAAAAAAAAGGAAAATGAGGAGTGTTAGAGGGGCTTCAGGAAAATAGGCACAGTAATGTACCCTTCAACCCAATTATACCATTTTTTGGGGGGTAGGGGGCTAGGCAGTGGGGTCAAGTGACTTGCCCAGGGTCACACAGCTAGTAAGTGGTATGTGTCTGAGGTCACATTTGAACTCAGGTCCTCCTGAATCCAGGGCCAATGCTCTATCCACTGCACCACCTAGCTGCCCGCCAATTATATATAGTATTACTAGCCCTATACTCCAAAGATCAAGGAAAGAGGAAAAGGACACACATGGACACACACACACACACACACACACACACACACACACACACACACACACAGGTTTATGGCAGCTCTTTTTGTAGTAATAAAAAGCCTGGAAACTTAGTGGGTGCTGATCTGTTGGGGAATGGATTTTAAAAAATAGCATATGAATGTCATGGAATATTACTGCATTCAGAGAAACCTGCAAAGATCTGTATGAAATGATGGAAAGTGAGTGGAACAAAGAGAACATTATAAAGAAAACCATTATAAAAAAGACTTCAGAACTCTGAGTAATTTGACGAACAATTATAATTCCAGAGGACTGATGATGAGGAAGTCTACCTACCTTCTGTCAAAGACATGATAGACTCCAGATGCAGAATAAGACATACAATTTTGGACATGGCTAATGTGTGGATTTGTTTTGCTAGGTTACAAAGGCTTTTTTTTTTTTTAAGGCAGTTGGGGTTAAATGACTTGCCCAGGGTCACACAGTTAAGTATCAAGTGTTGGTGTGAGGCCAGATTTGAACTCAGGTCGTCCTGACTTCCAGGCCAGTGCTCTATCCACTGTGCCACCTAGTTGCCCCTGCTTTTTGTTTTTCAGTGGGGGCTATTGTAGGAGGACAAGGGAATTACAGCTAGAATAGCCAAAAAAGAAAAAGAGAAGGTTGAGACATCTTTTTTTTTTCTTAAGGCAGAAAAGGCCATAAAGAAATATAGACAAGCTGGACAGCTTTGAAAGCTACAAGTAAAAACTCATTAATATCCTTAAAAAAGAAAAGTAAGTTGTAAATAGAGATCTGCAATTTCATGTTCAATCCTCTTTATCTTTTCTACTATGTATATATAAATGCCCATTTTATTTAGTGTTTGGTAAGTTCAGAATAGAAATAAATTTTTAAAAAGAAAAATATTAAGGACTCAGAGAAGCATGGGAAGACTTATGTGAATTGATGCCAAGTAAGCAGAACTAAAAACATTACAATGATTTAAGTGATGGAAATGGAAATTTTAAAAAAGTAACCATAAATAATGACAAAAGTTAGACCCAGAAGAAGAGATGAAAAAAAAATATCTCCCTCCCTTCATCTGCAGAGGTAGGTACTATAGATATGCAACATTGCATGCAATATTGGATACACTTGATTTAGTTTTAACTGCTTTTTTCCTTCTGTTTTTTGTTATAGGGGATAACTCTCTGGGTGAGGGGAGGGGATAGAGGCTATATTTTAAAATGGAGGTAAAAAAAACCCCCAAAAGATATCAATTTTAAAAAATTGAGTTCTTCCTCTAGCCATAGCAGTAAAAGATACTTCTTTCCCATTCTCCTCTAATTTTTTCATGACAGTGTCTTTTGTATTCAGGTTATATATCCATTTTGAACCTATATGGTAAAGTGATGGTCCAAAGCCAATTTCTGTCAAATTGCTTTCCAGTTTTCTCAGCTGTTCCCTTTAAAAAAGAAGTCCCTCCCTAAATAATTTATCTAACCAGGTTTATCAAATACTGGAGTACCATGTTGAGTTACTCCTTTTTCTTGATTTTTGGATGTGTTCCTCTAATGGATTTTTCTGTTTTTTTAACCAGTACTAAATTATTTTAATAACTATTGTTTAGAGACCTACAATGCAACTAATACTATGTTCTCTTAGTATTTTTCTCATTTTTCTTGGGATTCTAGACCTTTTGTTCCTCCAAATGAATTATTGTTTTGTCTAATTCTATAGAGTTTCCCTTTGGTAATTTGATTGGTATAGCACTGAATCAGTAAATTGATTTAGGTAGTATCATTTTTTATTATATTACTACAGTCCAACCATGAGCATATTATCTCTTCAATTATTTGTCTTCCCTTCTGTAAAGTGTATTCTATTTGCATTTATGTCTCGTGTTAATTAACTTCTATTTTATGCATTCTGTAATTTTGAATTTATTTTTTTTAGTAACATGAAAATGCTGATGATTTTTGTGGATTTTGTATCCTGGTACTTGATTCAAACTGTTAATAATCTTACTTTCTTTACCAATTCTCTGTGGTTTTCTAAGTACATTATGTGCTCTGCAAGCGTCCTCTTTGCTATTATTTATACCTTCAATTTTGTTCTCTTGTATTATTGCTAAAGCTAGCATTTCTAGAATTATGTCAAATGATAGTGAGGAGAGGGAACATCCTTACTTTGCTTATTTGTGCTGGGAAAGCTAGTATTCCCTATTGTAAATACTAGCTCTTGCTTTCAAAGATGCGCTTTTGATCATATTAAAAAAGAGCCTTCTGGAAGGTGGAAGGTCACTCTTGTGGGACGGAGGAAATGCAGAAGTTAACAGCTAGCTATTCAGAATACAATATGGAGGAGGCAGCTAGGTGGCACAGTGGATAAAGCACCAGCCCTGAAGTCAGGAAGACCTGAGTTCAAATGTGCCCTCAGACCAAACAGTTGACACTTATCAGCTATGTGACCCTGGGCAAGTCATTTAACCCCAATTGCCTTTAAAAAAAAAACCCTACAGAATACAATATGGCATAGTATAAACACTGGATTTAGAGGAACTAGGTTTAAAGCTAGGGTTTGCCACTTATCACCCATGTCACTTTGGTCAAGTTACTTTTATTTATAAAACAAAGGGCCTGAACTATATGGATTGTAAATTAATTCCTAGTTCTGCCCTTTGAGGCCAAGAACAGGTCTTAATCCTTTTGCGCTGGGCTGGTCTCTCTCAATCTTTAAGCTTCCTTCTTGTCCCCCAAGAACCCCAAAACAGTGAATATGCTGACCTTATTAGCTTCTGATAGCCACATCCCAGAAGCTTTTTGTGTTTGTTTTCTGAAGGCTGCAGAGTAAAAGCATATGAGAAATTTAGTGTAAGAGCTGAAGGGATAACTTGCTTATTTCCCACCTCTCCTGCCAATAAGACTAAGAGGCAGGGTCTGGAAAGCAAAGTGAGCCAACTTGTTTCCAGCTTGGACTCTCCTTCCAGTTTAGTTGCCATGTTTGGGAGCTCACTCCAGAAATGTAATACATGAACATTTCTATCATATCATCACACTTACCTCTTTTCCTGCTGCTGTCCAAGCATTAACATATACTTTCATATTCCAAAGTATTAATATCTCTAGTTTCATAGGAATAAGCCAATGAATGATAAGAATTGGGGGAAGGCTGTTAGGTCACATCCACACATTGTTCTCTGGAGTCTTGAAAGGATGTAGTATACCTTTCTTCATCTTGCTAAAGTACAGGTCATTCCCTATGAAATTTTGTACCATTATAATGTTACATACCACTGATTTCATCAATTTGGACATAAATGAGGGTTGGTAGAACTCTTGATTCAACCTTGCAGACTTCGTGTCATTGCACCATTTCTACAACCTGTTGTGGATAGAATGGGACAAAGGACCTAAATTCAGTGACTAATATTTGTTTATAACCTTGATGTATTATCTGTAGATTTGCTTTAGAAAAGTGGTCTAGGTAGTGATGTCAAACTCAAATAGAAAAGAAGTCGCTAACCTGTACATAAGGATCCCTGCTGGTGCACAAGGACTTAGTTCTAAAATGTAAGTTATTGATGCTTTCTTGTATTTTTATTCTGCTAAATTTCCCAATTGCACTTTAATTTGGTTTGAACTCTGGAGCATTGTAGGCCACATGAAACAGCATGTTCAACCCCTCTGGTCTAGGCTACAGGAAATGGATGTTTCTGGGCTAAGTGTAAATCAGTCCAAAAATTACACAGTGGCTCACAAAGAATGTGTAATTTCTTTCCAATGCTGGCTACTGGGTGTGATCTGGCTCAATATTATAGAACTCTGTAAGGCTACAGAGACTCTGAACTGGTCTTTGGTCCAATAGGCCAAGAAAATTTGCTGTCAAGTTTTAGAAGAGAAAAAGTAAAAATGGCCATATTGTAAAGTATCCCCATGAAATGACACACTAAGAAAATCTGGGTAAAGTCACAGGATCACAGATTTAGGGTTGGAAGAGATCCTAGATGTCATTTTAATCAATGCCCTTTTTAAAGATGAGGAAACTGAGACACAGAGAGGACAAGTGATGTAATGTACCCAAGGTCACAAAGGTAGTACAGTCACTCAGAGAAGGTCCTCCTTTTTATTAAATCACAAGTCGTGAACAGTACTGTTGAGGACCATAGTCTCTCTGACAACATGCTCTAGATCTCTATGCATGCAGGCTACATATATACATATATATCCCTATCATAAAGTCAAAAGGGCTGTGCATGCATAAAATACCCTCTACTTATTTCCCCTGCATGGTATTAGAATGCCAGGTCAAACACACTTAGCACTTTTAATGACCAGCATTGTGTTCTGACCCTATAACTACTTAATAAATGAATTACAGAATTAAATGTGTTTTGGGGAAATCATTAAGTTGATCTCTCCCCTACAGAGGGAGTCAGAGAGGAGAACCCTGACAGAAAGTTAATAAACTCTTTTTAGTAGTTGTGCATCTTAAGTCTGTAATATGGGATAACTTAAGAGTCAGGAGCCCAGAATTTGTACAGAACTAAGCCTGTACCAGCTATGAATAGCGGTAGGATGATGATGGAAGGAACTGACATTTTCTTCTACATGAAATATGGTGCATTTTAAAGACATGTTTAGCATGTATATATGGGTCAATTTTTTTTTTTTAAACACAGGCTGGTAAGTAAAAAGGCTGTTACAGCAGGAACAGTCATGCATCAGGGAATAAACCGAAACAACGAAGACATGAACCATAACAACTATGGAAGCCCTTTGACGAACTTTGCTGTTTCTTTGAAGCAGGCTCTTTAGGAACCTGGTGCACTGGGGAGAAGGAAGGGGCAGATGAACAATATGTCTTGTTAGTATGTAGACTATTCTGGGATGTACAGTCTAAGTTTTCTGAAAACATCTCCCAAAAGTCTTCACAGTCCCTTTCCTTCGGGAGGCTTGATTTCTTTTTGCTGAATGGAGTAAGTGCCTTGCTGGCCAGGTCTGGAGCCTCTTGGTGTGGCAGCCGGAGTAAGGAAGGTGACATGGTTGGATAGCTACTTGAATGCTTTGGTATCGAACTGATACCATCTGTGCATTGATTTAAATCCTGGAATATCTCTTGGCAGGAATGAAGTTTGAACCCCAAGCCTTGAGTACTGTCTTGTGTGTTGACATCTGTTTCCAGGGCCAGCATAACAGGTGATGCTAATGGATTTAACAAAAAGAAAAAAGAAAGAAAGAAACACAGAAAGACTAGAGGCAATAATTTACCCACTCCAAAGTTAGCTAGTTTGGAGTAAAGACTTTCTGAAAACTCAGAAAGTTAGTATAGCTTGTCAATGGCAAAATGTCATAGAAACAACAAGTATTTATTACATGCCTACTATGGACAATGCAGTGTACTAGATGTGGGGAGATATAAAAACAAAGAGAAAAATTAAGCCTTGCCCTCAGGGAACTTACATTCTACCACAGAAATACAAAGTATACCCAGAGAAGTAACTATAAAATAACCTAGTGGGTGAGGGAGGGAGAGGAGAATTACCAGTCGGGGGGGATCATAAAGCTTCTCTTAAGGGGTGGCACCTAGCTTATCTTGGATTCTAAGAGGCAAAAGTGAGGAGGGAATGCATTGCTAGCATAAAGGATTGCCTATGCAATAACAAAGAGGTGGGAGATGAAATGCCAAGTTTGGGTAATAGCAAATATAACTGTTTGGCTAGACTGGAGAGTACTTTATGAATAGTAATGTGAAATAAGCTGGGAAAGGTAGACTGGAGCCAGGTTGTGATAGTCTTTGAATGCCAAACTAGAGTTTTTACTTTATCCTAGAGGCAACAGGGACCACTGAAAATTATTGAACAAAGGAGTGGCATGGTGAGATCTGTGCTTTAGAAAGATGATGTTGGTGGGAAATAAGAAATACAGGAAATGGGGTACAGAAATCTGTCTTGCCCTACAGGAAAATAGAAGGGGAAGGGGATAAGAGAAGTCGGAGAGAGATAGAAGACAGGGCAGACTAGTGGAAGGGGTATTCAGAATGCACTCCATCTTGGGGTGGGGAGAGGGGCGAGATGGGGTGAAAATTTGGAACTCAAAATCTTGTGAAAGTAAATGTTGAAAACTAAAAATAAATTTATATTTAAAAAAGCAGCAGAGAGAGGATTATATATGAAAGTATTGGCTTTCCTTTTATAGCTTTTATAAAAGTTTCCTAACCTAATAAAAATAAAATTGTCCTATTTGTTTAGCCTTCTGAATTTCCTTTTGATCTCCTCTTTATTGTTTAAATGAAGTATTTTCATTTCTTTTCTTTTTTTTCTATCATGATTCACCAATACTCCCTACCTCCTGAAAGAGAAGGCTACCTTTATGACCAACAATTAAATAAAATTAAATAAAACAAAAACAAAAAAAAAGATTATGTTGGCAACTGTGTGGAGAACAGATTGGGCAGGGAATGGATTGCAAATAGGGTGATCGATTAGGAGGTCATTGTAGTAGTCCAGTTGAGAGGTGATAAAGGCCTGAACTAGGGTGGTGGCCTTATGAGAGGAAAGAAGGGGACCAATTTGGGAGATATGTTGTGGAGAAAGAATTAACAAGATTTGTCAACTGACTAGCTAAGACGAGTGAGAGGAAGGAAAAGAGTCAATGAGTTTAAGATATCACCTAGGTGATAGGGAGGATGCAGGTACACTCAACAGAAACAGGGAAGCAGTTTTAGAGAGACCGGTTCAGGGCCCTTCTCCAATTTTGGACATGTTCAGTTTGAAGGGCCAAGAGATATCCAGAATATCTAGTAGGCATTTGATAATGTGGAACTCAGGAGAGAAATTAGGGTTGGATATATAGATTTGGGAGCCATCTCTACAGAGATGATCATTGAACCTGTGAGAGCTGATGAAAACACTACCAGGAGAGAATGTGGAGAGAGAAGAAGGCCCAAGACAGGTCCTTGTGGATATCCTCCCCTCCGCCCCCAAGGGAGCAGGAAATGAATAATGACTCAGCAAATGAGACTGAGAGGGAGCAGCACTAGGACAAACTGGAGAACCAGGTAAGAGTAGTATCAAGAATGCCAGAGGAGGAGTTTTTAGGAGGAAGAAGGTGAGTCAATAGTACCCAAAGCTACAAATAGGTAAAAGGATAAGACTGAGAAAAGGCCATCAGATTTAGCAATAAAGTGATCACTGGCAACTGTGGGGAAAGTAGTTTCAATCTAAGATTGCTAAGAAGATAATGGGAAAGTAAGGAAGTAAAGACAAATGTGTATATTTTTTCCTAGGAAATTTGATGAAGGCAAGATACAGAATGATACTTGAAGAAATGGCAGGGTTAAGTGATACATTTTTTTAATGATGAGGAAAATTTGAGCATGTTTGCAGGCAGTAGGAAAGGAGTCAGTAGACAAAGAAAGTATCGCTGTGCAGTAGTAAGATCCTAGTTGAGATTAGATTAACATAAATTTGTCCTGGGGCTCAACTAGCGTTCTGCAGCACAAGAAGGAAAAGAGAAGGCACATGGTAGGAGTAATCCATGATTGAGGGTGAGTATGGTATGAGAGTCAAAAGGACAAGAGAGTAAGGAAGTCACAAAGTCCTTGAGACACAGGGGTGACTAACTATGGGGTCAAACATGGGAAGAGAGGGAAATGAGTACAGAACAGGGGTTGGGGGGAGGAGAGGAGAGGGGAGGTGAGGATGGATTGGAAAAGTAGGTAGGGATGAAGTAGATGGAGTACTTGGTGAGAGCACAGAAAAGGATTAAGAGAAGTGAAGCGGAAGGAAAGATGGAATGAAAAGAGTTTGTGACAGTAGAGAGGAATTTGAGAGTTCCAATCACAGAGGTAGATCTGTCAGCCGATGATGAGACCAAGGGTATCTCTGTGTGTGGTGGCAGTGGAGTAAAGGTGTAAGTCATGAGAGTTGAGGAGGTTGTTGAACTAGATGGCCAGGGATTTTTAGGGGGCATCAATATATATATTTGCAACCTCAAGTAAGTAGGTAGGGATTAAGGTGAAGAGGAAGACTTGTACTGAACTCCTTTGAGGAAGGAGGAATGACCTAAGGGTCAATAGATGACTGTAACAAGGATTTGGATAGGATGATATATAAACTGATGGAATCAACTTCAGTGGTGAGAAGGTTACTGAATGACAGAAGCAGAGGGATGGTATGGAAGTGGCAGGGAGGAACAAGCAGTAAACCGCTAACCTAAGGTCAAGTTTGGTTCTTATCAAATTAGATACTGTTCTCTTCCAACCCTCTCAATAACAACTCACCTCTAGCTGGAAATGTATATCCTGAAGAGCTAGGGGCAGTAATTGATGCCTTCTCCGATTCACTAACATAGCTGTAGTCGCCAATACTGGGCTGGAAACAGGCAACAAACAAAGGGTAATGGATCTTGTAGATGTGAAAACCCTATAGTTACATGTGAGATACTATTTCACAGCCATCTGGCAGGTTCCTAAGCTGAAATCTGGCAAATTAATTAGCCTCAAGGCTGAGGAATCTGAAGTCCTAGCAACTATTAATTGAAATTTACTCAAGTTTTGGTACTAAAAGAAATTCTGTCCCTGTATATGAGGATTAATGTTGCAGTGACTTAGGGGCTGCTTGAGACTAGCTGCCACATCCTCATAATCCCTATACTGTGGCTTTAAAGAGCAGGCCCTTCCACATTTCAATTTACCTTGATATTGGTCAGAATCATATCATTTGGGGGGGAGGGGCTAGGCAGTGGGGTTAAGTGACTTGCCCAGGGTCATACTGCTACTAAATATTAAGTGTCTGAGGTCGAATTTGAACTCAGGTCCTCCCGACTCCAAGGCTGGTACTCTATTCACTGTGCCACCTAGCTGCCCCCAAGAATCATATCATTCTTTTTTTTTTTTTGGTGAGTCAATTGAGGTTAAGTGACTTGCCCAGGGTCACACAGCTAGTGAGTGTTTTGTGACTGAGGCTGGATTTGAACTCAGGTCCTCCTGACTCCAAGGTTGGTACTCTATCCACTGTGCCACCTAGCTGCCCCCAAGAATCATATCATTCTTTTTTTTTTTTTGGTGAGACAATTGAGGTTAAGTGACCTGCCCAGGGTCACACAGCTAGTAAGTGTTTTGTGACAGGTTGGATTTGAACTCAGGTCCTCCTCACTCCAAGGCCAGAGCTCTATTCACTATGCCACCTAGCTGCCCTGAATCATATCATTCTTAAGAGATTAATGTGTAACAAGTTCTTTAAAAACAAGAGGAAAACTGAAAAGATTAGAAAAGAAAAATGTCAGGAGATACAGATTCTTACTTACCGTAGGAAAAGGATTTGCTTTATAAATCTTGCTTCTCTTGTTCATTAATCTGCTGTGCAGTTTGCCAAAGGATGCCCATGACCCACTGTCTCTTGGAAAAACCGGCTCCCTGTCCTGGCCTGAAATCTCCATGAACTGAATACTGAGCTGTAGACGCCCAAGATACTTGTTGGTCTTCCTGCTTTTGGACTGCAAGATGAACCACCTACATGAAAGAAATTCCCATGAAGTTACTGGAAGCTAGAACAGCCACGCTACCCTACTTTGGTTTCTGCCACTTTAGGAACTGCCCACATACTATGCCAGTGATACCACAGCCACTGAAATCTTACCCTACACATAAAATGAATCTTTTCTCAGGCAGCTAAAATAGAATTTCCTCCTAGCTTCACAAAACCCAGATTCCTCTTTTATTTCCATTTCCCTTCTATGTTTTGGGTCTGCTACCAAACACATTCTCCATCTTGGTTAACGTGTTTCCCTGGTTTAAAGAAAATGAGTAACATGTTGTTCAACAAAAGATTCTCTCATACAGGGGCCGCTAGGTGGCGCAGTGGATAGAGCACCAGCCTTGGATTCAGAAGGACCTGAGTTCAAATCCAGCTTCAGACACATAACACTTACTAGCTGTGTGACCCTGGGCAAGTCACTTAACCCCACTGCCTATCTAAAAAAAAAAAGATTCCCTCATACCAAGTGGTCCTATAAAAACTGAACTTAATCAGAGATTAAAGAAGTAGTTGATATGCTAAACTATCCTTTTTAGTCTCCCTTTACCCAAAGGCATTCTTACAGAAAATTCTAGAAGTAACAAGCCTCAGTTATTCCTTTTCTTTCCTCCACCTTGATCACCAGGAATATATGTTCCTCCTTCCACTAATTTCTTTGTTTTACCCTTTCAATGGCCTGATCCCTTCTCTCATTTTCTTCTACTTAAGATTCTCCCTTTACTAAAAATGCAATTTTTAGGTTGTTCCCCCCCCCATTGTTCAAGTGTATTCCCAGTAATATTTATAGCCCATTCTTGGTTACCCATGGTAATGGGAAACTGAAACTCATGAATCTGTAGTCTAAACATTTCATTAAAGCTGATAATTTCAGCTTCTTTCCTCATTTAACCTTTTACCAGCTTAGATAACAGTAGACTCAATTGAATTTCATCTGGTGGAGAAATTGTTAGTGGGTAGATGGCAGCAGGGAAGTCAGGCAAGGGCCTAATCACAAGGTGGAAAATCATTCCCTAAATTACTTTTTTGGTCTTATTTAAATATTTTCCTATTGCTAGGATCATATAGTCACTTTCTAAAGGGATTATAGCTTTGAGCCTTCAAGGAAGCGGAAAAGATTCATGGGTCCAAGACACTGATGTGGTTTAATATTTTGTGATTTTTACTTAAAGCAGCCCATGCATACTAGGGGACCCCTGATATAAAATGTCCATTTTACCTTTGGAGGGGAGAGTTGATGAGAAAGATTAATTTATTCTAGAGGGATAGCCCTACTAATTCACAAGGTCTTCATCCTAGACTATCCCTTGCAGAGGATAGTGACTTTGACATGATGATGCGTCCCTGTCTATTCACCTGCTACCCCTATTCCCTCCCGCTGCCTGCTTCAGCAGAATGAGGAAGAGTTCAGAAATCCTGAATCTGTCCTTAAGTGTGTGAGAATCCCTCAATTGTGTGTGGGAAAAGCCAACTCTGCTCACTCATTGTTCCTCTTGGTTTTGTCTTGGAAAAGCTGCTTCACAGAAATGGATATCTGGCCCAGGAACTGGTCTGCGAACCACTGTGAATGATGCTTGACTGTTAAGATGAGGTTAGGATCCTCCAAAATATCCAGTTTACCCGGCAACCGAAGGATGCAATCCTCTTTCCACTCAGGACTTAGGTTGTGACGCACCACCGAGGTCATATATTTCTCTTTCTGGAGCCGGATGATCACATAGGCATTGCTGAACCCACAGCGTCCTTTGGCCAGTAGATTCTGAGCCCTAAGAATTGTCAACTGCACATGAGTTGGGTACCATTCTTTTTCCTTGACTGTCCTGCTGAGAAAAGAACCAGTGATCACTGAAGTCCCTACTCATGCTAATTAGACTCTATGCCAAGAAATGCCAGGTAGTAGAGACCAGAAGATTCAGATATACTTACAAATGATGTAGAGTCACTTAGTGGCTCCACCTAGAACCACTGGAGAGAGAAGGGACAGACTTTCCCCCCCTTCAGAGAGGGACCCTCTGAAGAGTGCTAGGAGCAGAAGTTTCCAATAGGGAAGCCAGTCTGTGGCAAGAAGGAATGGTACCTTTTGCTAATGGAAATCTGGATGGATTCAAAGGAGTTGAGGGTAACAGATTCCTTCTTGCTAGGAAGTTTCCTGTTCTGGAATCAAAGACTCTGGGAATATGGAACTCCCTTGGTATGAAAGGGAGGAGACACTCAGTCCTTCTCTATGTGGCAAACAGACATGGGGAAGCACTCTGAGGGGGATTCCCCTTGTGTGAAAGCAGAAGCCCCCTCAGGGATTCCCCTTGTGAGGAAGCAGAGACACCCAGGGGACTCCCCTTGTATGAAACCAAAGATGGGGGGGGTCCTCTTGGGACCCATATTCCCCTTTTGGGGAAGCAGAGACCTTTCTCCCCCCCCAGGGGATACCCTTTGTGGGGAAGCAGAGACTGTCCCAGGGGTTCCCCTTGTGAGGAAGTAGAGATCTCCACGGGCTCCCCTTGGGAGGAAACAGAGACCCCTCCCCCCACACCCTTGTAGACATGCAGAGATTCTCCCCCCCAGGCTGCCCTTTGGGGAAGCAGTGACGCCCCCTCCCACTCTCCTTGTGGGGAAGCGGGATCCCCCACCCCCTTTGTAGGGAAGTTGAGATCCCCTTCAGGGGACTCTATACGTGGGAAAGCAGGGAACCCCCCCCCCCACTGTCCTTGTGGGGAAGCAGAGACCCGGGGGGACACCCCTTGTGTGCAGGTAGAGGATGCTGGGGTGCCCCCCTCCTGCCAGGGCCTGGGGCAGGGGGCTGGTTCCTCCCAAGGGGGGGAGGTTGGCGGCGGGGACTCGAGCCGCGCAGCGTCCGTTACCCCTCGTGGGGAGCGCGCTCCTTCTGCTGTTCCATTCGCTGTCACGCCGCTAGCGCGCGCTCCGCCGGCGGAGGCTCGAGCTGTTCCTCCGGCTGATCCCCCGCGCACGCGCACAAGGAGGCTCTGGGGGCCGCCTGGCCGCGTGCACGTGCGCGGCGCAAGAAGCCGGTGGATTCCCTTCTTGCTTCCCTGGCTGCGCTAGGGGCTGGAACCGCAGGGCAGTGGATGGGAAGAGCAGCAGGCCCACCCAGGCAGGGACCGAGCGGAACCTGCCCACCTTGGACGACACTCTCCGTATTGACTTAGAGCCGGGCCTAGGATGCTCTGCTCAAGAGGGCATAGCATCACAAATTTATAGCTGGAAAAGAACTTAAGAGGCCGTCTGGTCCAACCTCCCGTATTTAACAGATGAGGAAACTGAGGCCCAGAGAGGATTTGCCCAAAGCCACATGGGCAGGAAATGACAGTAAGGTTAGGATTCAGGCCCCGACTCTAAAGCCAGCACATTTCCCCTCTATAGTAGGCTGCCTCTTCGAGGTCTTTCATAATTGGAAAGCAAATGTAGGGAAAAGAACATTAGCCTCGACATCATGGACTTCTAGAACCCCTGGAGCTATGAATTTACCAAATGCACTGGAGCAAGTCTCTTAGCACAAGTGGTTTAGCACAGAGGTATCAAACACGAGCCCAATGGCTGCTTGTGGCCAGCTGTTGCTCCAGCCAGTGTTCCCAAAGCCAGATTAAAATGTCATTGGGAAAATTAAGTAAAATAAACAAAATACAATAAAACATAGCATTGCGTTTAAAAACTAAGTTAATATGCCCCTGCAAGGATCTTTGTGTAATTAGTGGCTCCCCCTACTACCGCCTTTCTATTTTGAGTTTGACACCACTGACTTTAATGGATAGAGCCCTGGACTTGGAGTTAGGAAGATCTGACTGAGTTCAAATCCCACTTCAGACCAACTTGCTGTGGAATCCTGAGCAAGTCGCTTAATTTCTCTAGGTCTCAGTTTTCTCATCTGTAAAATGGATTCAGTGCCCTCTTAGGTCTCTTCCAGATCTAAATCTTTAAATCAATGATTCCCCTCTGGGGCCTCGATTAAGGATTAGACTAAAAATTCACTAAGAGCCCTTTCAGCTCAATTTAGGATGATACAAAGCCGGGAGTCAAGGTGGTGGGAAAGTAATTGCCTCGGTAAATCCTAGCATACAGCAGAATACAGAGAAGATCGTTTAGCCAGAGGCAGCAAAACAAACCAGCCTGGGACTTGAGTCCTTCCACTTTCCCATTGGTTTCCATGTGTACCGGAGCTATCTGTTGAGTGTACACAAAGGCTCAGGTTCCTCAGCTAATGAAAGCCTTCAAAGCACCCAGTCCTGGTAAAAATCCAGATAAGAATCTGGATGCCCCCATCTGAATCAGGAGATTAAATGGCACCAAGGGTGCAAGAAACAGAATAGGGTCTGCCAATGAATGGAGATGAAGAATGCTCTCCAGGTTGAGTTTTGGTACCTAGGGGCATGTTGTGACATTTCCTTGGTCTTTTAGTCCGAGGGGGAGAAGCACATTGCAGATCACCTATTAACATTTCCTTTACTCTGCTGTTTTAGAGAAGACAGGCTTCTTCCCTTAAGACCATCTCAGAGAAGTGTCTTCCGGGTCCTCAGATTTAAGCAATTAAAATAATAAATTTTAGAACTAAACAAAGACTTTAGAGATCATCTAATCTAGCCCTTTTCTTTTTTCTTTGTGTTCCTATTCCCTTTTAATTTGGGATACATGTAGTGGGGTGGGGAAAATTAGATTCAAGTAAATATGAACTTTACAGAGAAAAAGAACAAAGCAGTAGAAATTCAAGTGTTTATCAGTGGGTGTGAATTCCTTCTCACTCAACAGATTTCAAAAATGAATTACAGCTCCAACTACCATTCTTAGTGCAAATTTAACAACACTGCTTGTGATGATCACACATCCTCAGTACCACTAATGAGCAAATTAGCAAAAGGAGCCTTGGTAATTAGATGGAGCATCAGAACTGTAAGCAGAGGGTCCTGAAATAAGGCCTTCTGGCCCAAATTGACTCCTGGTAGTATGGTCCTCAGACATAGACCTGGTCCTGACCTTGACCCCAGGCGGCCAAAGACGCCCCATCCATTCTCTGTGCCTGGCCTTGAGGAGCATTTCTATGAGTCGAGAAAAGCTGACAGAGAAAGAGACAGGATTCAGGATTCTTTATTATTTCTCCTATCTCCTTTCTACCCTCCATCTCCCACCACCCACTAGCCAACATGTATTAACACTGCTGCTGCAGAGGGCAAACTTTGGAACTGTATTGATGTTGATTGTTTTTAACTTGTTCATGCAGAATATCTACTTTCTGTAATTCCTGCTCCTTACCCACTTGTCCACCTGGCACGGATAGGCCCAGATTAATTGATTTCTCACAGGTCAGATGGTTGAATGAATTCTAGGTTGTAATCAAGGCTACTTTTGCCTCTTAGCTCTGAGTTAGGAGAATTTTCATTCATTAGTATAGCGGGAAAGAGTATTGAATTTGGAGGCAGGAAATGTAGCATAGAATCTTGGTTCAAACGCTTATAAATTCTTTTTTTTTTTTTTGGCTAGGCAATGGGGTTAAGTGACTTGCCCAGGGTCACACAGCTAGTAAAGGTCGGATTTGAACTCAGGTCCTTCTGACTTCAGGGCTGTGCTCTATCCACTGCGCCACCTAGCTGCCCCTAAACTCTTATTAATTCTATAACCGTTGTCAAGGCATTTAATCTACTTGAGCCTCGGTTTCTCATATGTCAAGTGGGAATAATAATACTTTGGCTACCTATCTCAAAGGCAAGGATGAGGTGAGGAAAATGCTTTGCAAACATTAAAGTATTATAAAAATGGGTAATTCTTGTCCCTGTTAATTCCAACATGCACTTATTAATCCTTTGAGTCTGATTAAATTATGTATGCAGAGCAGTGCTCTAGGCACTGTGCTCTGTTCTTTTGTATGATAAACTCAGTGATAGCAATAATTAGAGCAGCTATATAGTACAGTAGATAGAGCAACAGGCGTGGAGTCAGGAAGATTCATCTTCTTGAGTTCAAATCTAGCTTCAGACGCCTACTGTCTATGTGACCCTGGGCACATCACTTAACCTTGTTTGCCTCAGTTTCCTCATCTGTGAAATGAGTTGGAGAAGGAAATGGCAAACAACTCTAGTATCTTTGCCAAGAAAACCTCCAGTGAGTCACAAAGAGTTACACACGACTGAGCAACAACGACTCTTGATAACATGGGTCTGTCTATATTGGCATCGTTCCTCCTGTGATAACCTTCCTCCCTTCAGCACTTCCCTCTTCGAAGCCTTTGACTTTTGCATCCTGTCTTCCCACCCAAAGGGGATACCTGATGGGACTGAGCATGTACCCTGAAAGGAAGTCACTCAGGAAGGATTTGTTTTTTCAGTCACAAATGGGGAAGACATTCCATTTATCTTGGTTAAAATTAAATTCTACCAGTGGAAGTCCAAGGTCTAGACCCACCCTCTACTTCCTGAGGAGTTTCAGTTATTCCCTGCAGGGCTGAATTTTTGTTCATTCATTTATTCATTTAACAAATTTATGAAGTACTTCCTTGTATACTGTGGGAAATGCTTTGTAAAGAACACAGTCCCTGACCTCATGGAGTTCACAGTTTGGGATGAGTTAGGATCCAAATAAATACATGAATAAATCAAGGATGCTCCCTTTCCCCATTATTATTTGATATAGTTCCACAAGAAGTGCTAGCATCAGTAGTAAGACAAAAGAAAGAAATTAAAGGCATAAACAAAGGCAAAGACAAGACATGATTATTCCCATTTGCTGAAGACAACATGGCTATATACATGACCTCTCTCTCTCCCTTCCCCCCTTGAATTCTGACATGGCCTTTGGTTGTTAAATGGAGGATGGGTTGGAGTAAGGAGACACCTGAGACATGGAGACTAATAAAGCTTTCATAATAGTCCCATAAAAATTCAACGAAGGCCTGATCTAGGATAGTGGCTGTGTGAGAGCAGAGAGGGGGACATATGAGAGACGTTGTGAAGGTAAAAACCACAAGATTTGACAACAGATTGAATATGTGGAGAAAGTTCGAATGGCTGGTTGAGAATGATATCAAAGTTTTGAGCCTGGATGACAGGTTTGTTGGTGGTACCCTTCACAGTAATAACGACATTCTGAAGAGGGAGGGGTTTGGGGGAGGGGTGTAGGGGAAGATCATGCGTTCTCAGCACCTACGGCCCACCTCATCTGAGATGTTCGAGATGACTGGAGTTCAGAAGAGAGATAGGGCAGGACATATAGACCTGAGATCATTGACAAAGAGATGATATGTGAACCTATGAAAGCAGATGTGATCATCAAGGCAGACAGTATAGAGGGAAAAGAGAAAAGTCGCCAGGACAGAACCTTGGTGGGTACCCATAGTTACTGGTCATGACCTGCATAAAGATCCAGGAAAGGAGATAAGAAGTAGCAGTCAGAGGAGAAGGTAATCAGTGACCAACAGTATCAAAGAGAAGTCATTAAAGATTAAGAAAAGTCCATTCGACTGGATAATTAAGAGGTTATAGGTACCTTTGGAGAGAGAAGTTTCAATTGAGTAATGAAGTCAGAAGACAAAGTGCAGAGGGTTTGGAATAGAGTGAGAAGATAGGAAGTGGAGGTGCCTAGTGTAGACAGCTCTCTCAAGTTGTTTGGCTAAGAAAGGGAGGAGACACATAGGACCACAGCTGCCTAGGTTTAAACTCTGTGACATGATATCTATATTAGACATATGTTTATGTGCATACATGTTGTCTCCCCCTTTAGGAGTCTGCTTCTTGAGGGCAGGGACTGTTTGATGTATCTCTTTGATTCTCTAGTAGCTATAGAAGCAAAGAGCACATAGTGGGTGCTTAATAAATGTTTATTGATTGAACAAACAACATTTT